TTATTATATTATGTATATATATGTTTAACTTTGTGAAATCCCAGCTATGTGCATAAAACCTCATGGAGACATATGTTAGGGTCCTTCCTACTGACGTCAACTCACCCCTTCCGACATTTTCAGGTTCTATCACCCGAGATGGTGTACACAAGGATGCTAGTTGTGACTCTTGAACTTGTTTTGTGCTGGATATGTTTTTGTATAAAGCTGATAGCATGATCATGACTTTTGTTTAGTAGCTGAAAATATGATACTTGAAGCATGTAGTAGAAGAAGTGTATGCTCTGTTTTCACTTGTTTTACTGACAAAATTGATAGTATAACACTTTCCAAAAAAAAAAAAAATTGATAGTATAACTCTTAGTTTAGTTTTGCTTTTGACAAATATAGATAATGATGTATAGCTTATGCTATGGTGAATGAGACAGTTCTATTCTAGGTTTGAATATATTCTCTTTTGTATATAGAACTTGTTGTGGGTCTTTTGGTTTCCTATGTAATCTGAGATGGAAGATATGTAGATGCAGATCTTTGTATTATATATTAAATCTGTGATGTTAGAAGTGTATAGGAGTCTATAGTGTAAACTTACTATTGGATTAGTTTTTCTTTTGCAATGGTGGACATACATGCCAAAATGGCTACCTAAGTGTTGTTGGGTGCATTGACTATTTGTTCTTTTTGCCCTAGCCTTGTTGAGGACGTTAGAAATGATGCTTGTAAGAAATTATGGGAATAGGTTGCATGTGTGGAGAAAAAAAAAAAAAAATTTCTGGACAACAGGGACTTTTCATTTTGCTGGAAAACAGCAAATTCTCCAAGGAGCTGTATTGCCTCAAAACGTTTTCCAAATTTTATCACAGGTTCCACTATATTTCCAGTATCTCTATGTAAAATTTTGTAATCTAAACATATATTTTATGAAAAATCCGACAGTGCCTGCTATCCATATATTTCCACTGGTTGAAACCAGATTTTGAACATTTTATTTGGCTGACTTGTTGACCTTCAAAAATTCTAAAAACACTCAGTTTTGTTCTTTCATAATTCTATTTTCAAAATAAATTTAGTTTGCCCAATTCAGATGTTAAACAAATTTTCTACAAATTAGTGAAGTATCCACTGCCTAGATCTTCTTCGAACTAAAGACTGTTGATTTTTTTCTAAAATCTGATTTAATTGGGCAATCTTTAGCTTCGGTAAGTGGCTCAGCAATGTTGCACTTTGAATCTAGTTTTCAAATCATTTTGGTTTATCCCATTCCGATTAAAAATGAATTTTCTACTGGTTTTTTTCTATTAACCTCTGTGCAAATTAGACAAAAGAAAATTTTCTACGATCAAATCATGCCCGTGGAGTTTATAAGCATTTTTTAAGTTGTAGGAAAATTATTTCACTTCTAAGAAATCATCTTTCACTTGTTCTTTTTCCGCGGAATGTTCTCTTAACACTTTTTATCACACACCACCTTTCTGAGCGTCACACTTAGGGTTGCAAATGAATCGAGAAACAGTTCGGACTCGGCTCAGCCCGGGCTCGTTCGTTAAGTAAATGAGCAGAGTTCGAGCTCAATTTTTAGGCTCGTTTACTAAACGAGCCAAGTTTACTAAATGAGCCAAGTCCAAACAATGTTGAGCTCGGCTCGTATAAGCTCGTGAACATGAACTCGACTTAGACTCGGCTCGTATAAGCTCGTAAACATGAACTCGGCTTAGACTCGTTTATGTTCATGAACACTTGTATACATTGTAAATTACAAACTCTTATAAATATATACATCACTAAAATACATAAACTTATTTTTAAAAAATAAAAAATAATAATATACAGGTCAAATTTGAAAACCTTATCTTTAAAAAATCGTGTCACTTAACCTTATCTCTTTGCTATGTACTTATAATGACATGTGTCAACCTTTATTGCTACTTGGCAATCTGGCAAATGAAGCATCAGACTATCAACCCATCACTTTACCAAGTTACGGATTATCATAGATCAGCATTCCACTTTTACATTCTCTCTCTCATCTTTCTGGCCAAGACCAGCTGTTAGGGCAGTAAGCTTGGTATTTGGTAACGCCATGATTATAGGAGACCTCTCAATCGCAGATCCACTTAATCTACGGGTGATTGATGCTATAAACTTACTCCAACAACAACTCCTTTGAGACATGTCTTCATCTCTCTCAACTATGTTCTTTTTCTTCATATCCATTTTTTTTTTTCTTACTTTGATGGAGTTATGAGACGGTGAAGAATATAGACTGGTTTGTAGAGATGACGATGATAATGTAAACTGATTTGCAGAAATGATGATGATTAAGAAGAAAATTTTTGAAATGCGAGCTTAAACCGAGCCAAGTCCGTTCAAATATTGGCTAGCCGAGCTCGAGCTTACCTAAGTCAAGCTCGGACGAGTCCGAGCCGAGTCCGAGCACCATTCTACAGTTGGCGAGCCGAGCCTGAGCAAGTCAAAGCTCAGCTCGATTCGGTTCATTTGCAGCCCTAGTGACACTTCCATGGATCATGGGTTGCATTACTGCAAATACTCGGCTATTCTTGGAAGTTATAGTGATGCTATCTAGAATTCTGACAAGGAGGATTCTTTATCTATGATAGCCTAGATATTCATTTTATATGAAGCTACAATTAAAAGGGCACATTTGTTTAAACTCATTCATCTCATTTATCGATGGAATTAGTGTTTTATTGCACTTTATTTACTAGAAAGCAAGCTAAGGGGCTAAGAAGAATATAGGAGGATGTTTCGATACAGAGTAAGCTCATACCGCCTTTGATAATATTTGTGACAATAAGGCTGCAATGTTTCAAGCTCACAATGAGTGTTACAATGTGTTAGAAATAAAGAGATAGTATAAAACTCTGTATTGTATTGATGTAAATAATACAAGAGTACAGGTTTATATAGGAGAGGTTACGTGTGAAGAGCAAATAAACTCCATATCAGATAATGTTATATATGGTAATGAGGGTATGTGAAAACGGCTAACCCTAATCCTAGAATAGAATACATAATATAATCTAACACAATGGAAAGTCCATACATATGCAATTGAAGCACATTCACATTGAAGAAATCTTGATCTTCCTGTGTAAAGGTATCTATTGTCGAAAGACATGTGATCGGATTTGATGTTCGAGACATCTAAAGGGATTCTTTAAAGCCTGTAATCGATATTGTAATGTTATGGCAATCCAGCCCAATGATATATCTTATGGGTTCAATGGGAAGAAATAAGCAACAAAATGCTTATTTAGCAAGGTTCGAAACTCTTACTCCTCGACTCAAAAACCTTCTGAAGACTTTCCCAAATTCACTATGGCTTCTCCTTTTAGGTGAAGAGAAAACATTTACAAGAAGCAAATTTGTTTCTCCTTCTTTTGCTAAATTAATGAACCTCTTTTTCTTAGACTTTTGCTAAATGAACCTCTTTTTCTTAGACTTGTTTTGGGTCACACCAATCCTTTGGGTCAAATCAACCATTTCAAATGATTTGTAGAAAAAATCAAGTACAAAGATATATCTCTCTCAAAGGTTGATGTTCAAATCAAAGCGCACAAGACTAGAGGATTAATGAATCAAGTTGACGCTCAAGTCTATGAAGTGAAATGAATGAGAGAATGAAGAGTGTATTGAACCCTTAAATGAATGATCTTAATTATGCATAAATGTTTCTCACTTCTTGTATATGTCTCAACAAATGCACAACCCTTTATATAGAGGTTGAGGTCGAAAATAGCTGTTGGGAGTGGTTGAGGATCATTAAATGTTGATATAGCCGTTGGATTCAAAATCCTGAATAAACTAGTAGAGGTCTATTCTTTAGTGATAAAATCAACCGGCCGATTGGTTGAGTTATTCGAGGTTGCTGAGTTTTACAGAGAATTGAGAATTAATTGAACAGTTCAATTAACCGACTAGTTTGAGGTATTAATTAGCCAACTGGTTTAAGGTATTAGCCGACTAATACTCTAAACCAGTCAATTAGATTCGATTTGGTTGGGTTATATTGGAGTTTTTAAGTGGGCTCATATCCTAATTTTAACTAGGATTAGGTATACCAAAAAGAGGCGTATCAATAACTCTTTGATTATGGACAGGCAAGGTGGAAAATTCATATGTAATTAACCTCCGAAGATTAATGAAGAAAAGTTGGTGATTTGTTTATTCGAGATTGAAAAAATATCGATTGGATCCATTGAAATGTGTTTTTGCTTTCAGTTTTATGTTCTACTCTAAACGATGCCCATGAGTGAGCTTATAGGAATGCTTTATATCGATGAACCAACCAAACAGTTACAAACAACAAGAAGGGAAATAAAAATAATACAATTTTTTTTTTTTTTTTTTTTTTCTTTGAACATTTTTTTTTTTATTTTATTGGGGTTATGCTGACTCGTACCGTAGAGTATTCGTCGGCTAATACCTCAAATTAGTCGGTTAATTGAACTGTGTCAGCGTTGATTTTATCACTAAAGAATAGACGTTTCAGAGGTCTTTGAGGTCTTGGAGTTGAATTAGGTCATTAGGTGGAAACCTTTAGGTCAACACAAGTGAATGCACCCGGTCAATCAATACAATAGTTTTTTTTTCCCTGAAAGGTAGATCAATACAATGGTTGATTATGCATATATGGATGTATTAAAAATGGTCCCACACTAGATGTCTAAATTTATTTTTATTTTTTCGATAAATTAAAGGAAGGGAAAACTCAAATACAGACACATCTACTCGAGGAGTGAGTGCTCTACCAATTAGGCCACCAAGCAATGCCCAAATATCTAAATTTAAATGATTGTTGATATCATGTCAATAAAATGATACGGTATCACCGTTCATTAAAGTTTTTCTCACATGTTATGAAAAAAACAAAAAAAATGTACGTATTTGCATGGGTTTCAAACATTAAAATCACTCTTTCTCCCTTATTGGAACATAAAATAAATGAAAATCTTGTTACTAGTTGATAGTATTTTAATTCAATCACCAAAGGTGGAGGAAACAAAGGGGAGGAGCTCAGAGTCACTTTCAAACATAGCCATCTCTTCTTCCAACATGTTCACCCATGCCTCTATTCCTTCATCATTTGTACTCATCAATATGATCACATTCTTATAATGCCTCATAGGGCTGCACACCCATGTTGGCTTCCCCCACTCAAAATCAACCTCATACCACCTAAATCTGCACCAACTAGTGAAGTTTAGGAACTCTGTCTTACCCTTTGAAAATTCATCACATGACCTCCTCATTGTTTCTACACCTCCATCACCACTTTGTAGTTTCTTCACATAGTCACCATTAATTCCCCTTATAGCCTGCCTCAACTGCCTCACCAAGACATGCATATCAATCTCATTATCGTTAACCATCATCGGCGCAATTGCAACCCTCCAAAGATTTCCAAAACTGTGGCTTGGCAACGGCGGTTCCATCCTCTCGCGCAAGTTCACAGCATGAAGAGCTGCACAGACTGTTGCGTGTCCTTGTCTTGTCCGTGTCATGGCCATGAAACGTCTCCAAATGAAAGCTGAAACAGCCTCAACGCGAGTAGGGTTCTTCACTTCAGCTGAGGATGCTCTGTCTCTAAGTGCAGCTATGCTTAATTTGTCGAACACAAATCTTTTGGTCACGACCTTTTCTTTCATGATCCCTATGTTACATGAAAACCCTATTTTTCGTGTGAGCTCCGATGCATCTTTAGGCGGGAAATGCATTGCTGCATCAAAAGAATGATGCCCAATTTGGTCATTAGACCCTCGAGACAAAGCAGCCCATGCATTGACAAAAGTAATCAATGATGTTCCATCCGCGATCTTATGTGAAATGCACACACCAATTGCAACACCGCCACATTCGAAGATGTTGAATTGGACAGCTAAAAGTACCTCTTTTTCGGATCCATTATAAGCTTCAAATGGTAACAATTGGCTCAGTACATTCATGTTGGCCATTTCTGTAGCATGTGACAATTTGCAGTGCACTAGAGCTTCCAGATAATCAACTCCCTCGTCGTTACAGTCCACAGCTGAAGACTGGTCGTTGATTGTCCCGGCCAACGGATAGAAACAAGTTAAGCATTTTGCTAGAGACTTTTTGAGCAAAGAAGATTGTTTGAAATGATTATCAGTGCCTAGATTGCATTGGGCATGATAGAAGAGAACTATGGGAACATAAATTGGTGGAGCAAGCTGGTCTAGGGAAGAAAGTTTCAAGTTTCTAAGGTGATGTGGTGTTGGAGATGATGGTTTGATTCTCTCTCTAGAGAGAATTTCAATGTTCATCATCACCATAATGCCTTGTGTGTGTTGTTACACATGAACTATGCGCTTTTCATGTAGAATTAATGCTTACACTGCACATATATAGCTAGTAAATATATTCTTTTGCTGAACTTTTGGCTTCTTGGTTGTAACATAATAGATTAGATAATAATTTGGATCAACCTAAATGCTCTAATCGTAACATAAAGTAATAAATTTAATAATCATAGCCTCCCAATATTGTCTTTTAATTGGTGGAGCTAGCAATCTGGTTGTACTTAGCACAACAAAATGGATTACATCATTTGGATCAACCTAAATTAATGCTCCAATCATAAGTTCATAACATAGAGTATTAAATTTATTAATCATAGCATCCCAATGATAACTTCTAAGCTAAGTTTTTCCAATCAAAACTGTCCAAAACACCATATATTACAGTATTCTTTATAAAATTTGACGGATTCATTTAGGAATTTATGCTTATGATTCATTGAAAATTCCGTAGATTATGTCGTGTCCAAAAGGGCCACGTGGGCTCTTTGCATTTCAAATTTTATGCTTGTTTGCGCTCTTGGGCCTAGTAATTCCTAGTTTTTGGGCTGCTTGTTAGCCTTGGGCTTTTATTTTGGGCTTGTGTTTTGTGCTTCCATCTAATAGATTTTTGTCCTTTTTCGTTTTTTTTTTTAAAATATATATAGGCTATATAGGTTTCGTTCCAATAAGTTTGTGACTTGTTTGGTGGACTCTCAGTTCTGTTTTGGGCTTTGGTCCAGTTTGTTTTTGGCATCGCCTTGTAATATTCTATTTGCTTTGTCTGTTGGGCCTTGTGCCTGTTGGCTTTTCCCTTTGGTTGGGTTTGTTGTCTCTCCTCTCTGGGCCTGGTTTGGGTCCATAAAAAACTAGTGACTATAAGAGAACTCCTTATTACCTTGTTTTATGTCTGCTGGTTTGAAAAGGATGAACTACACTATAGCACATATATATGCAAATATATAATACTATATATGTATACACACACATACACATTATATTAAATTTATCCTTACATAAAGTGCAAGTGCTAGTTGTTACCAACTGAAATATACATCAGATAAACCATAAATCAGCCACTTATAGCGGATGAAACAAATGAGAGTAGCTCAGGATCATGTTCCAATATGTCCATGTCCTCTTTCAACATATTCACCCATGCCCCTATTCCATAACCATCTTTAGTACTCATCAAGATCACCACATTCTCGAAAGGCCTATAGGGACTGCACACCCAATTAGGCTTACACCATCCGAAATCAACCTGGTACACCGGAAAACCTGCACCAACTAGTGAAGTTACAAAACATTATCTCACTCTGTCGAAAATTTTGGCACACATTTTTCAGAAAATCCATATAGCCATTGCCATGCACTAGTTTCTTTATGTAATCACCGTCGACTTCTCTTATCGCATTCCTTAACTTGTCCACTAACGTATGATGCTCCTCCTCGTTCCCGAAGTAATGCTTTGACAATGGTGGAACCATCCTCTCCCTCAAGTTCACAGCATGAAGTACTGCACACACTTTCACCACCGGTTCTGTTTTTGACCGGCTTAATGCCATGAAACGTCTCCATATGAGTGCAGAAACAACCTCAACGCGAGTTGGGGCCTTCACTCCCAATGATGATGCTTGTTGTTTAAGCACTTCTATGCTTGTTTTGTCGATCACAAATCTTTTGGTTGCAAATTTGCAATGTTGTCTTTGGTGAGCCCTATGTCAGGCCTGAACCCCATTATGTCCCTTGGAGGGAAAAGGGTTGCTGCATATATCAAAACTCGGATGGATGGTTATACTAGATGATCCTCGAGACAAAGCATCCCATGTGTCAACAAATGTGACCGCGGAGCTTCCATCTGCAATCTTGTGTGAAATGCACACACCGAGTGCCAATCCACCACAATCAAACTCATTGAATTGAACAGCCAGAAGTACTTCCCTTTCAGAACCAGTTTTTTCATGACAAGGCTCAAATGGTTGCATTTTATTCAATACCTTCACATTTGGCCTAATAACTTCTTCCCCTTCGGAACCAGTTTCTTCATGACAAGGTTCAAATGGTAGTGGTTAATTCAATAACTTCACATTTGGGCTTTCTGTGACTTCAGTTAGCTTGCAGTGGACTCGGGTTTCAAGATACTCAACACCGTCATCGTTGCAGTCAATGAAGGAATACTCTCTCAAAGTCCCGCCAACGGATAGAAGTGAGTTAAGCAATTTGCTAGAGACTTCTTGAGCAAGCAAGACCTTTGCGAAAGATCGATATTTTGATTGCAATCATCAGCATGATAGAAGAGAAGTAAAGGAACATAAATTGGTGGAGCAAGTTGGTCTAGGAAAGACAAGTTGAGGTTTCTAAGGTGATAAGGTGTTGAAGATGATGGTTTGATTGTTTCTTTAGAAATTCTTTCAACCTTCATCATAATTTGCCTCTCAAGTAACTCTGTACCAACACAAAGTATTGTTTACTAGAGTTTTATGCTTCTCCTCTACAAAACTTAAAGTACTATATATATTAATCACTTCATGACATATATATATAGTAGATTGAGTTGTCATGGCCATCGATTCAGGATCAGTTTGTGTAGTATAATTCAAATTGATAAGTCCAAACCTTGGGATCAATTTTTGGAAGTCGGTACACATTGTTTTTACTTGTACATAAGTAACTAGGCTCCATATATAGGAAGATGTGGATTTGCAAAAACGGACATGTTCTCTACATGTGGTTTTTGAAATAATCTAGGCGGTTTGATAAGGATGTAGAACTAGCTAGGTTTATGAATTTCTGTGTTCTAATTTTATTTTTTTTAATAAGAACTATCTAGGTTTTTTTTTTTTTTTAACGAGGCAAGAAAACTGTCTCAGTGTTATCAATTCTTATAAGTTATATTTGACTTTATTTTTGCAATTATTACAATTTCAACGAAGGCATTAATCTTAAAGTTTGCAGATCAGAATTATATTTTTATTCGACAGGTGACACCACTAATTGCATTTTGAAGGAATGTCCACCTACAATTAGAGGGCAAGTTATGAATTAAAGGGGGGCAAAGAGAGATAAATTAAAGGGGTAATTACAATGACACCTACCGATGTTTGTTCTATTGACTGCCAAAGATAAGTTAGTCACTTTTTTAACAATGACTTCCTCTCACTAATTGACATTATTACCCTTTAATTTATGAATTGACTTATTTAAAATATAAAATTACTTTTTTAACCTTCCATTCAATCTCAAACCAAAATAAACATGTATGCATTTCTATATGTCTATATATATATATATATATATTTATATTTATTTATTTATAGATATTTGTCCTTCCAATTTTTTTGGGGACAAAAATAGCCTCAATGCAATCTATCTACTCATAAAAACAAATGGGTATTCAAGTAATTTCATAAATAAATACCCACTGGGGTCAGGGAAACTGGCCTGTCTCTTCTTCTCTATCATGCATTTTCTCTCTAAACAGCATTAATGCAGGGACCATGTCGCCACCGCTGTCGAAGACCACATCCGTCCAACAAACCACATCTCCCTAACAAAACCCGGCACTAGCATAATCAATAATGCCACCAACATCCCGCCGCACAACCACCAACAACAAACACATATTTCCCATGGATGAACAACCACCAACACCACCACAATATCTATCAACGTCATCACCGTTATCCCCACTACACAACCACCATCGCCATCCCCACCAATAATTACCGCCGCCACCTTATAGCCAATAACCACCACCGCCATCCCCACCCACAACCATTGTCGTCATCCCCATAGTCGACAACCACCGCTACCATTCCCATAGCTGGCAACCTCCACATGGGGCGCGCGGTGCCCCTTTCGATGACACATGACGCACCTTCCAACTGCATGTGAGGCCTCTTTTGGCAATGGGTTGGGGCCAAAAAAGAGCGATTCGACTGTATAGTGTCATCCCCTTCCCTTCGATGATGACGATCTAAAACCTCCAACGCTGAAACTCAACACAATCCGAGACATTGATTGATCTCGATCTCCTCATCATACGCGCCTTATTGCTCATTTTTAACACCAACCAGAATGACGATTTGCTCCGATTACTCTCAAGCGGCGATTTCACACGGTGGTGACTGGTGTTGCAAAGTTGCTGAGAGATGAAAAGGTTAAGGCCTTGGCAGAGGTGAAGTTGGTGGACACGTGTAAAAGTCACATGCTTTTAAAATTGCTAAAGGGTAGTTTCGTCAATTAAAATAGTTTATAATTTAAATGAAAAATGAATATTTTTATTAGAGGACAAATAAGACATTTTACTCTATTTTAGGTTGTGTATGGATCCATATCTAACAAAATGGTGTCATTATTCAAAAAGAGGCTAACTTATATATCAGGGAGTGTCATTCTAAGTAACCATAAATTAAACATGAAGAACACATGGATATAACGCCGTCTACGATATATAAAGTCTAAAGGGCTACATTTATTGCATTACATTCTCTCTTAATTTTTACATTCTCTATTTATAAGTGAAAGAATAGAGATGTGTGATAAATATGATATAAGAAACATTCCTAAAATCACTCCCATGATTGACTCATATCAATATGTCAAAAGAGTGATTTAAGAGTTTTAATCATTCCTATAATAATATTCTCCAACAGAAGTGGTGCAAGAAGATTGGGTATGAATTTTCGTATCAAGATTGACTTTCCTACTTTTAATTGCCATTTTTATATTGAAGATTTCTTGGACTAGTTGGCAGATGTTGAAAGGTTCTTTAATTTTATGGGAATTTAAGAAGACAAGAAGGTGAAACTGTTGGCATACAAAGTACATTTGCTTTCGCAACAGTCCATAGCCAAGTAATCGGCCCTCTCCTACTGCCAAGAAGATGCCGAGGCTACTACCTAGGAATATTTGTTTGGGCTCTAACAATTGACTTCCCGACCAAATCGAGAAAGAGGCCAGCAGGTGTACCACAAGGTGCATCGCACCCTAAA